AGAGAGAGAGAGAGAGAGAGAGAGAGAGAGAGAGAGAGAGAGAGAGAAAGACAGAAAAGAGAGATCTCGACGTGAAATATAGCTCAAGTGAAATATATATGAGATTTGTTCGAAAAAATATTCTGATCTTCAGCACGTGCATACGAAGTCCAGGCTTGTCGCGTTTTCAATGGCACTAACGGGGGAAAACGAGGAGACAGGAGGATCTATGGCAACCAGCTTGAAAGGATCGGTAGTCAAGCTCGCAGTATTACTGCCTGGCAGATTTATGTCAGTAATATCTGAAGCATTAGCAATTTGACGTATTGGCGATCGTAAAATTTGGAGTCGCGCGCAGGAAGAGGCTATCTCTCATTCATGGACTGATAATACATCAGATCCCTTCGGGTCGGCGAGCGCGAATGTATCTGGTCTCCCGCTGATTTGCATGTCGTAAGTACACGGAACATCAGCTCCGCGTATACCCTAAGTACTCAGGAGCAATACCGATCACGGAAGACCAACTCACGAACACTCCTCGCGCAGCGTAACGAGATATATCTAACGACCGCGATTATTCTCGGCACGCACATGGAACGCTCATAAAACGTAGCAAGTTCAATACGTACAGCAGCGTTCAAATTACAGCAAACTCGTCCGTCGATCGATCGTCCACTCGCACGTTCATTGGTCAACGCGAAAAACATTACTGCACAAACAAGCCTATCTCTCCACTGAATATTTTATTGAAATTTTAAATTAATATAGATATCTCTCCAAATATAAAATAGCTCCTTTTCATTCACATATATGACATTTTCTTTATGTTTATAATGCATAGTTTCGGTAATGATAAATTTTAGCTAATAATATAAGAAAAGGAGACTTACCTACGAATAAATTAATATATAAACTTATTTAAACAATAATATTACAAATGTATAATATTTCAAATGTTAGGGGAATCTTGTGTTTTTTAATTTATAAAATCGATGTCTATATATGATACGTCTATAATAACGACACGCATGGTGACTCTTACTTGTCAATGTCACTCTGGCCGTTGCTTATCTTTTTGCTTCAAATGTATGGGTTATCTATATTCTACGATATATCTCAAAAAGTACGTGCATGGAGAAAAATTTTGGAAAAGGAAAAGCGTTTAAAAGGGCAAAGAAAAGAGTCCTAAAAAATAAGGAAAGATACCAAACGACTCGAGATCTTTTTTACAGAGCTTTTCGCTGTTCATCAGCAGTATGAGTGAGTCAATTTCAACAGGACTCTGCATCAATGTCTCTCAGCAGCGGGGACAATGCGACGCGACACCAATCGTCATTACCGCTCCTCGGCAAACATTCAAACGAGTTCGTTTGATTAGTTTAATGATTCGTTTGGCTTTACTCCTCCCTAAATGTAGAATCTCTATCTCATGCTACTTCGACCCAAATGTTTTACCAAGCTAGCCAAACCAATCGACGCCGATTATCTATTCGTGTCGTCATCTAGTCGATAAAATTCTCAGATAGCACGGAGTAACTTTTACGATTGCCGCGAGTGCAGAGAAATTTTAATCCAGAGCGATTTAAAAAGTTTGATTTTCCGCGAGTCACATTCGTGTAGAGGGAATGACAAATCCAGATAACGTTCACGTAGCAACGCATGTTTTCGTTGGTTAATTATAGGTATTAATTACGGGCTTAAATTTAAGAGTGGTAAATATACAAAAGTAATTGTAAGACGGAGGAACGACTTTATTTTCCTCGTAAATCTCCATTGCGTACTTAATCCGTCTGCTGGCTATTGCCAGCGCACTGACTGACGTGCACCGTTCGATCCGTATCAAATACACGAAGCTGTATCGGAAGAGAAAGTTTTAAATAGAAAAGTTTTGCCTGCGCCCTCGTGATTCTGATATTCGTTATTGTGTCTCGTTAACTCTTAAAGGTTAATAACTGACAGATCATAATTACATTTACAATTAGCGCAATGGAGCTACACCTGGCACGAATCTTTAAAATTTATCATATAAAAATCCAGAAAACGATACATGCAAAAGCTTCATGATCCGTGAGAAAAATCCTTCGAGCTTAAGTTGTTAAGAATTACACAGTGGTGACGTGCAAATTCCCCTCTGCTGCTATACATAAATAATAATAGAAAGATATTCACTTCACAATATCTCCAGTTTCAATCTTACAATAGACTCCGATAAGTACTTTTCAAGTTAAAATTTAAGAAAACTTTCTGTCTTCCGTGTAAGTTCTATTTTCCAATTAATATGTTGATTATTCGTCTTGCCTCTAACAACATAAATTAATTTATGACTTATTATCAATAATTAATTTTAAGTAAACTACATACAATGCTTAATATTTTTTTGCTGCAATGAGAAATATATTTTCACGATTCGTTCAATATTAAACAGATAAAGTCGCGATTACGCTGGCAAAACTAATGAAATTTGTTATCAAAGTCATAAAAATATGTCCGTCTTCAGCAGTAACGATTCAAAACTCCCGTAATTCCAACTTTGGTCATTTTTTCTTAAATTGTGCGAACGGATGTTGCGTTTTTGGTGATCGTGTACGTATAAGTGTGAACAAACGAGTCTTAAAGTTTTTAACAGCCCTGCGGCTTTCATTATACATGTATGTCTCGTTCGAGTTGTAAGGTTATTGGTCGGGAAAATGCAGCGGAAGTTGGGAGGGAAGCTGCTGAAATATTCTGAATACACATAGCAAGTATATAACAAAATGCTCAATATTTTTTATCAGACTAAGATTAACATAAAATGAAAACCCATCAGTAACAAGTAAATTCTTGAAATTTGTTTTAATTGCTATGAATAAAAAATAAATTAATATATACAAAAACCGGTTATGTCTAAAGCTCTGCTTATCACTTGAATGGAAGCTAGCCATCTGGACGTGTTTCTGCGTTCGTACTCCATTTATGTCCATCCGGACATCTCTCTCGCGGTTTCGGTTACACGCTGTTTTCAACACGCCGCACGAACGACAGTTTCAAAGTTTTAAATCGACAGGTCGCGCCAATGCCATCCTACCAGCCGACGGGGCTTAATGGCGCATCTTTTACATAGACGAGGCAGCCCCGGTCATACTTCGTGAATTCACGACTTTGATCCCTCCCGCTAAATCTCCTCAGCTTTTTCTCTTTCGTAACTTGCGGAACTCAATTTCTATCCGGGATATGCGAAGAACGTACGGGAAACTTTTTCCCACGGATGCACCGAACGTTGCTCCCGCAAATCTATCAACTTCGAGATGCGCCGGAAGGAAAAATTTGTAAACCATTTATGACAAAAAGAAATTTTAAAACGGCGCGTTTTTTTCTTTTTTTTTTATAGAAAATTCCTTGGAGACGACTGATACAATCTCTAATTTGTTGCTCTGCGTTTATTTACTCTTCATTATTGTTCGTTATTACTTTTCGTTCAATACTATGCGTATATTTCATGTTTTTCATATTACGTTAGAAAATCAAAAATAAAGACGTAATACTCGCCTCAGGTCTCCTTCTTGCAGAGAAATCTCCTCAAAGACCAAGCGAATTCTCTCCTTCAACCTGAAATACAATTAACCAAGTTACTCTGCGTGCGTTTTCCTAGATGGATACATTATAACGCCACTTATTACTGTGTAAATGCTACATAACTTGCGATATTAAAACTTGCATTTTTATGAATACGAAAATATTATTACATGCATTTTTCGTCCGAGCGGTACCGTGCGGCGGTACACGCGCGCGGTTTATCTTGTTCCCCGTGGTACTAATGAAACAAGATGGGCGAGAGTTGTAATTAATTTCATTATAAGCGCACCTAGCGTATGAATTTGTTAAAACGACGGCGTCGACGGCGACGACGGCGACGGCGGCGACTGTGAACAATGTGACGGGACAAAATCTCTTTATGAAAAAAGCTTAAATGGCTAATTGACAGAAAGTGCCTTTATAGAATATAAGAATTTATAACCTAACCATAAGAAAGAAAAGCCGAAATATTCGTTTCTTTACTATTTTTTTTCTCGCTGCTTTCTTTCCGTTACGTTTCTTCCTCACATGTGAATAATCATTAAAAGACTCGCTTGCAATCACGACGTGACAAAGGCCATCCAGCCATCGAGAACAGTGTAGTACGTTAATATAGCATAGAGCGAGTGTCATGAATACCTAGCAGATAGACTGCACGCGCGTATAATACACATACACGTATCCGCCGGCTTTATAGCGGCTGGCATAGCGGCCGACGTTGCGTTGACATAACTGTTAGACGTATAGGGTTACACATGCTACTTTGATACAATTACTGTAATTAAGCAGCAACCCACAATACTACGGAAATCACATTCGCGCATACTGGCCCGGCGCCGCGATTAAATTCATCACGATTGAGCGACGTTCTGACTCGACTCCGTTAACTATTTCCTTTGATCGCTGTACGTAGATCAGACATCCACAGAAATCAATGAACTGTGCAACGATACGTAATGTGAACTATGACGTTTATAGATATAATAGGAACGCGAAACTGGAAATCCTATTAGATAATTAAGTAAGCTATTAGAAATTAATGCTCTAAAATAGATTAAGAGAGAGAGAGAATAATATTTTCTCTTACAAGTATACTTTGGCAAATTAATATTACCGCTTGTTAGTGTTTTGCCATTTAACACTGGGTTACATGGATTGCATTTTCATACGCAAGTCGCGACGAGGTTTAGCCTCGGTGCTCGGTGTTGTTTCGTGGGACCGGCTAGAGAATAGCAACTTCCTGCGAGGGATCATGCCAAGAACTTGCTGGTTTTTCTCCCGCTAGCTGGGCGCGAGTGCAGCTTTTATGCCGCTGCGCTGCGAAACGGCTTGCGACAGAACGGACGTAAACTTTCGGCGGCCACGTAACAAGGAACCGAGATGAGGAACGAGGAAAGTTGAGCTGGATAGGAAGCCGGAAAATTTCTGATGATGGGATAAGCGCGGTAGTATCAAAACTCAACGTGACCTAGTATCTAAAACCAGTATGTCGAGTTTTAGTGTGGCCTGGACGAAATTAAACCTTCTTTATTTAAACGCTATGCGAAACAAACATGTTGAGTTCGATATGATTGAATATGCCCTTCGATATGTTAGATTGCGTGTTAATGAACTGCGAGCAGGATTACAGACTGTCGTCATTAAATGCGCTAAAGCAGTAGATATATGACGACGGCGGAGATTAGCAGCGGAGATACATTATATATGGATTAGACCCTCCGGAACAGAGCGCATGGGCTCAGGAGTAGGTCAGATTAGTTACCTTGCCCGGAAGAGGTAGGAGCACCGGATGTTCTTCGGATAGGAGGACGGGTACCGCGGCGAATAAAATCGTCCGTATTGAGGCGTCGATTGCGAACTGACAAACTCGTGGTCACACATCGTGCCGGGTACCAGCAGACCGTCCATCTCGAATAAACCTGGAACAAAAAGAAGATGAGATCACGTTACGACGTCGTCGACTTTGCGATATGTCCACTTGTCCGGACGATCTTGTTTCAGTTGTCATTTTGACAAAGTTATCGCTTTTGTCCTAGTTCTTTCTGGCTTGTTAGTTCGTTCAATCTATATTGTATATCTGAGACTGTTGAAACAAAATTTGCATTTAATCAGAAAATACTTGACGGTCTGAAAAATAATCTTAAATCTTTCTTAAAAACGAAAATATGTGAGAAACATGTGTGTGTGTGTGTGTGTGTGTGTGAATAACCCATATAATGATTTTATAAATTTACAAAAATCTTGTTTTGTGACGTTTTTAACTATCTACAATTCTTCAGTAGAATATTGCAAATATAAAAAAATCTTCCTAGCCTTCCTCGATCTTACTACAATTTCTTTCGCTACTATTTCGAAAAAACTATTGATAAACATCGGAACACACACACGTGCAGAGCAAATTCTATTCGAAAGCTGTCTCTCGCGGAAATGGAATCGAGATGAAATAAAATTAACGATTGCTAGCGTGTCCTTAGAACGGTGCAAATATACCTACTGAATCCGTTACGTATTGATTAACTAGTGGCGCGTCCCACACTCCTTTCAAAGGCGTCGCCCCATGGTAAAATGATTCAATTTATAACTGAGTATCGTTACGGCTTACGATTAACAAAAATGCATAACGGTACAATGCACAGAATCGAAGTTAATCCTAATCTTTTTTTTTGTTTGTCTATCCACCCACCTCGTTAGTTTTTGCAGAGTAGCTGCGCATGTTTCAAAATAAAACCAAAGAGCGAGCGTGTATAACGGATATTTGTGCAATAGCGATTTCGACGTACGTTCCGAACTATGTACAAATATCTCGAGTACGCGGGTTAGCGCGATAACGACATCGGCAGAGAAATACAGTGCCGACCGATTTTGCTAAAAGCGCAGGGAATTATCACCGTTCATGTGCGTACAAAGAACTCGTACCGTTTTTAAATTCCACGATTTCTACGGGATATGTACGGGCAATTACATCGCTGGCTCGCGCAATTCAGAATACCCGAGATCGTTCTTTTGTGCTTGAAACAAAGGCGAGAGGAAAAAGCGGTAGTTTCCGGAAGATAAAAAAAAAACAGACAGGAGGTTGGAGAAGGTCGTCGGCCGCATCTATCTGCTAGTGAAGAGATTCCGTAAAAGAAATGTCGAATTCCAAAATGAATTAATCGTTAACACGCCCATCGGCATAGTTCTATTGTAAGTAATGCGAATAGCAGTCAAGAAGGTCCAATATACGTTTGCATTGTACTCGATCAATTATCGTGATAAATGGAGCTCCGTCGGACTTTATGATATTCGAAGACCATAATTAGATTATAAAATAATGATCTGTCGACCTCCTCGAATATGCCATCGGCATTGAGATCCGAGAACTAATATATGCAAAATGAAGAATAAAATAATTTATAGATATGGAAGTAATTTTGAAGTAATTATGAAGTAATTATTGAAGTATTTTAAAAAATTTTTAACGAATGAAGTCGCAGATGTTGTAAATATTTCAATATACTTCGTATTTCTTCTTGTACTGCTAGTTTCAGGATTTTACAATAGTTTACAAAATAATTATGCATAGAAGGAGCAATAAAAATATTTGTTGTTAAAAATTGTGAGAAATTAAATTGAATACATTTTTAATTCAATTACAATTAGCACAATGCTTCGCATGAAATAAAACAACTAAAATTAATCAAAATAATTCTCCGGAGAAAGCAATTTTTATCATCGTACTGCCGGGACGAGTAATAACGGGAGGAGATCCCCCATCTTCCCTCCGCCCTAGTGCACAGTAAAACACACAGGCATAGGATAAGAATAACCAAGCAATTCCATCTATCATGCGACATTAATAAGTTAATTTCGAAATATGCGTAAAATGTATATCTGCTTACGTGTATTTTTGCTATGATTTTAAATTTTCGAGTAAGACTCGATCCATTTTTCAAATTTCAGGTTTCATACACACAGACAAATTTCGAAAAAATTATTCTACGTTTCAAACTTTAATACGAAAAGACAGGAGGTCCAGAGAGTGAGACAAAAAATTAAACTACATAAATGATGCATGTTCCATTCGATATTTAATTAATATATTTCATCATGCTGATAGCTTGATAATATTAATTCTCTCGGCGATGATAAATCCGAAAGAATCAAACTTGCAAAACTTTACTTTCTTCCTGGAAAAATGGTGTTCTTTTTTCGTCATAAATTAGAACCATTGATTAATTTTGTTCAGTTTTTAAATATACTTTTTCTTCCGCGTTCTCATCTTCCTTCTTCTCAGAATTCAGACAAACTATTCGAAGTTTAGCGTCGATGTGTTCTGGAATAAATGTATTGTGTATGATCGACTTCACACATACATTCATACGTATATGCAACCTATCTCTCGTGGGGAATTGTACGTGTGCTGGACGCTTGATATCGTCTTGATATCCGACGTCACGTTGCGGTTTGCGAGACAAGTATGGTTTACATGGGATAACGAGAATAAAGATCGAAAAGGGAAAATTCATTGATTTTTCACAAAAGATAAGACAGAAAGAATTATTAAAACAATAAGCAATTAAAATACTCATAAGTGATATTTGTGGCTTTACATTGGTTTTTATTTTTGAATTGCGTCTATATTTTTCCGATCGGACAATCATAGTAATTTCGTTTTATTTTTAAATTTGACCAATTTTCAGTAATGCTTTTTTATAAACCGAATTCATAGATGATAGGGTGTGCATAACGTTCTTCACGAAAATTGTAGGTACATGTATAGCACGCTTGATGACGTCGGTCTTTGCTCACGGTGCAGTGTCACGTGTCAGATTGCAAGAACGTTCTATCTTATTACGATAGAGAGCTGCGTATTAGATGCAAGAAAAGCGAAACATCATTCTCGAGATGATAGATCTCTATGCTTTTAACGTTAAATAATTCCATTTCCAATAACATTTCACAAAATGGAAGCATATAACATAGCGAAAAAACCGTAATCGCATGTTATGTACATTATACGCTACTTTTCTTTTGATAAAACAAAAGCAAAACCACAGATTATATTGTCAATATTGTGTTCGCGTTATCGTTACTTTCGTTAATCTATCGAAAGAAGAATAAGATATCTGTCATATGTGATTGAAATTAACGACGTGATTTCTCGATGCACACACGCACGCACACACACACACATACACACATACATGTGTTTAATGCGCGCTGTACTCTCGACATTGATTTATTTCAAATTTTTGCGTTATCGGGAAAAGCCGTGCATACGTTTGAATTATGAAACAGCTCCATTGGGATACCAGTCCCAATTACGAGTCTAGTGGCAAGTCAAAACTCTCTCAAAGTCATATCTCACGTTGGCCAGGAATTACGATCACGTAGTTTTAAAATGGTGCACTGTTTTAATTTTCCCATGATTTTTTCTATTGTTGCATTTTTTTACGTGATGTTACTGTACAGATTAATGTTCTTCACCGAATAAAATACCGGCATTAATATTTCTTTACTAATTATGAAATTTTTTTTCTGTACTTTTCACAATTGTAATGAACGCCGAGGTTTTTTATGCAACCACATATAATCTGCATTAAAACGTTTTTTCTAATTAATGAAGCTCATGCAAGAATAATAAATTAAAATCCCTATGGAAGTATAAGTCGATGTTGGCATCGTCGATTTCCAATTTCCATAGAGCGCATTTTTATTTCCCACGCGTGCACACGCTAAGCTTCCGAGGGTGAAACCGCGTACCGACAGATCTTATCTGAATATTTTATGGACTAGCCCGCGCTGGAGGTGACAAGCATAGCCCGGTGTCGATGCATAAAATTTCACATCACATCCTCGGTCATTCGCAGGTAGGATGGAAAATGTAGATGGAAATAAAAAAAAACAGAAGCGTATTCTCAGTGACGTTACGTCTCAACACATCGTTCGGAAGCTAAAATTCCTTGCTTGAATAACGCTGGAATTTGAGTCAGCGTTTCGGAGCTTTCAGTGCACTTCGGTCAGTAAGATGCTCTCTCTTTATGGTTGTACACGGCAATTTTGCATAATCTTCATTTATTTATTTCGCGTATTTATTTTAACAATGCAATCTTGACACACGTAAAAGTTATTGTAGAACATCGGCTTAAAATAATTTAGATAATATAGAAACTAAAACGTATATAATTTAGTTTCATAAGTTAATTTTATAAATCACTTTAATCAATCTAGTAATTAATGAGTCCATTTAATATTTTAATCACATAATTAATAATCTCATAATTTGTCCTATGACACATTATGAATGAGGTTGGAGCTCATAGACTCGATGCTGCCACTTCAGAAGATTAAGTTTACGAATGAAAAAATATGGAAAGACTAAGTATAGTATTCTATTGACGATCAAGTACAAAGGGGATCATTTTCACTACGGCACATTGGAGATTGTATATTTTACATTGGTATCTTACAACTACTCTCATCACGACGTAATTCTCTTTGTGTATCGTCTTTGTGTACCGTCTTCTTGATTTCTTTATAGTCATGTAAAATTTTCCGCAAGCGCAGAGTCATTATGTACGCGCGAACGTAGATATATGTATATAAAGTCTACACAAACCAAACTTGGAAAACATGAGAAGCTTGCACTTTCATGGTTCGCAAGCGTAACCGCGTCGAGAAATCTTGAGATTCATCGCAAGTCTCCTGTGAGGAAAATTACGGAGCATTCATCGTAACCGCTGATTCCGCTCGCGCGAGACCACGCACCGAGCTCTTTTTATACCCCAAACAATTTAGTGAACTTAATGAGGATGGTATAAGCGCGACATTTAAATAACATGTGCTAGGTTCATGGATCTTGCGATAGAACAATAGTAATAAAATAGTTAATAAAAATAGTTAATAAAAAGAGTCGTTTCTTAAATTTCTCCTATTTGTT